CTATTAAAGTATTATTATTAATGTGATTCTTTATTTTGGTTAACAGTTGGCTTATGTAGTTGGCTGCTCCCGTGTTGGAGGCATAGATATTTACAATTGTTAGATCTTCTCGTTGGATAGACCCTTTAAGTATGATATAGTGTCTCTCTGCATCTCTTACTACAGTCTTTAGCTTAAAATCTAATTTGTCTGATACGAGAATTGCTGCCCCAGCTTTCTTTTCAGGTCTGTTGGCATGAAAAATGGTTCTCCATCCCCTCACTTTCAGTCTGGATGTATCTTTAGGTTCAGAATGAGTCTCTTGCAGACAGCATATGGATGGGTCCTGTCTTTTTATCCAATCTGCAACCCTGTGCCATTTCATGGGAGCATTTAGGCCATTCATGTTGTGACTATGAAAGATATGATTTTAGTGCCATCATGTTGCCTGCGAAGTCCCTGTTTCTATAGACTGTCTTTGTAAATTTCTGGTCTATATTACTCTTGGGGTCTTTCTTCTTTTATAGAATCCCCCTTAATATTTCTTGCAGGGCTGGCTTGGTGGTCACATATTCTTTCAGTTTCTCCCAGTCCTGGAAACTCCTTGTCTCCATCCATTCTGAATGACAGCCTGGCTGGATAAAGTATCCTTGGCTGCATGTTCTTCTCATTTAGTACCCTGAATATGTCTTGCCAGGCCTTTCTGGCTTGCCAGGTCTCTGTGGACAGATCTGACGTTATTCTGATGTTCCTCCAGCTGTACGTAAGAAGTCTCTTCCCCCTAGCTGCTTTCAGGTTTGCTTCTTTGGTTCTAAGATTTGCAAGTTTTACTATTATATGTCGGGGCATTGGTCTCTTCTCATTGATCTTGGGAGGGGTCTTCTCTGCCTCTTGGACACAAATGCTTGTTTCCCTCCACAGATTAGGGTAGTTCTCAGCTACAATTTGCTCAAAGATATCTTCTAGTCCTCTCTCTCTCTCTACCCCCTCAGGGATCCCAATAATTCTGACATTGGAATGTTTCATGGCATCATTAATCTCTCTCAGTGTGATCTCTTGGGCTTTTAGGTGTTTATCCCAGGCCTCCTCGGCTTCCTTCTTTTCTATCATCTAATCTTCTAGCTCACTAATTAGTTCTTCTGCCTCATTTTACCCTGGCTGTCACTGTATCCAGTTTAGACTGCATCTCAGTCATAGCATTTTTAAGTTCGGCCTGATTAGATCTTATATCTGCCCTTAGAGATTCTATATTGTCGCTAATATTTTTCTCAAGCCTAGATATCGACTTTATAATTGCTACTCTGAAGTCTATCTCTGACATCTTGCTTATATCCTTATCCATTAGGTCTGTGGCAGAGGCCATAGTCTCTGATTCTTTTCTTTGTTGGGGGTCTCTGATATACTTTATAATTGTATTATAACTGCTATCTAACTTATTAAAAATCCATTTATATATTAAATATGGTCAATTCTATAGATCATAGTTTGCTTATAAATGTATTTTCAGAGGAAAAACACTGCAAAAGTGACATACTTTTAAATAGCACGAATAGTTATTATATTATGAATTGAAAACAATATATTTTTAATGCCAGGCACAATGATACATGCTTTATATGCATTGCCTCATTTAATCTTATAAAGTAATAAGAATTACTGCTCTATTGTGCAGATAAGGGAACCAAATAGAACTGAACTTTAGAGAGAATTTACCAAGGTCACACAGCTAAGAAGTTTGGGATCAGACCTTGGTACTACATCTCTTACTCTTGCAAGCACAAAGATTTTGTCTCTGGGCCAGAATGACCATGGAATTTTTTTGAATATAAAAAAATATTTTTAAGTATGGAATATAAACTGGAAAGAGCTGGTACAGAGGGGGATCTTTATTATTTATAAAGAGCAGTGTGATAACTGATGGAGCAAGTCTCAGGTGAAAGGAGAGTGTCAAGTTAATTGTTGAAGAAAGTCTGACCTTGAACATATGGAAATCTTTCTCCCTTAGAGTGAAGGGAGGGAAGTAGAGATTGGTGTGGTTATTAAAAAAAATATGCTTAAGGGAGGAGACAGGATGTAGAGGGAGTCAATTTTCTTGATAAAAGAGTCTATTAGGGTAGACTGAGAGTTAGTTGAATGGTCATTGGGTGATGTTTTGGGGGGAGAGTGGCAGAAGTTTAAATATTCCCTGAAGTGGAAATGGTAGAGGAGGCTAAACAAAGACAGAGTGATTAATGACTGGTGCTCAGAACTTAATGGAGTCTGGAGCCTTGTGTTTGCAGGTGCACTGGTTATGTGGCTTACTTTGTGCTCCACTGTCTGTGGTAAGATTTAAAAAGACATGTGTTCATCTGAGATAGGACTTACAAGGTCAGAGTGATGGAAGAACAAAGATGCAAAAGAATTATGGGTGCTTTTATAGTAGTATAGTTTTCTGTATAAATATGTGAGATTTGTTGAGTTGATCTCCTGTTAGAAGTCTTTCTTCAATTTGATTCTCAAGTGTGAGATGTAAGTTATCATTTTAAAAATAAAGTGTGATGACCCCTAGTGAAGAAATAGTGTGGGCAAGATGTATGATGTGGTGAGAAAAGCCTGAGACAAGTAGAACCCAGAGTTCCATGTATGCTGACACTGATTCACTAGATGACATCAGAGAGATCACTCATTTGGCATCTAGTTAGTTGTGTAAAATGAAGATAGCCCTTAAAGTTCTCCAGAACATCTTTTTTTTTTTTTTTTTTCCGGCTCCCAAGGTAAATTATGGAACTCATATTTTTAAAATAAGCTGAAAATTGACCCAGTTTCGCTTTTTCCAACATTGCTATAAGAATTTGGGGCAGCGGTGAATACAATATTTAAAATTTTCTTAGTAGTCCTAACTTTGTGTATGCCTTCTACAGAAACTTATTATTTGATGCATTTAGAAGAGTTAAATGTGTTTTGACTATTTAGAAGTCAAATTTTCTGTGAGGCATCAGATGAATAAAATATGCATATAAATATAGTATATGACAGCACTATTGTTCCCCACATCTTACCTAATCTATTTTTGAAGTCACCCCTAAAATTGCATATAGTAGAATAGTATGTGTATAAACAGTTGTCACTAATTATTCTTGGGGAATTATCCGTATTCCTGATCACTTATTTATAGGACCCATGCAATACCATTCAACTTTTTCAAGGCAGGAAGCATCCTAGAGTAAATGAATAATATCTCTGACTCTAATGAGCCATTCTCTCCTTTTGGTTCCGTGACTGACTGTGAAAGTAATAGATTTTCTCAGTGGGGTGAGGAACAGGAGCACATTCTCACAACTGATTGATCATGTGAGCATCTCCTTCCTCTCTGATGACTAAAAACTGACTTAAATAATTACTGGATCTCATGAGAATATATTTATATTTAACATTTGGGGTGGTGGTCAGTGGGGGGAGTCCTTTCTGTGTCTTCATCAGGTAGATCTACTTTAACCTTTATGAATCATAAGGACCTTGTATGGACTACCAGAGGAATGCTTCTCTAGTTGGGAAGATGGGGCATGTGGACCTAGCTGACTGCTGCAGCCCAGCTTGGGGATCTGTCCTTCATGAGCACCTTATGGCAGGCAGTAGGTGCTCCTCTGGAAAGAAGTGGGAAACCTGTATAAACGTGGGAAAGTCGTGCATTTTGGAGGCTGTAAGACCTGTGTACCCAGAAAGGCCCTCAGTGTGCAGAAGTTGGTTGTTTCTGTGAACTATGTTAATTTCATTCATCCAGTCAACAATTAAACACCACTGTGTTTTTGGGAACAGCAGCAAAGAAGGTCTAGTCCCTGCCCTCGGGGAGTTACATTCCGGTGGGGGCAGGTAGGTGCTAAGCAAAGGGTGAGGAGTACAGGGGTGGGGAGGGACCACTGTTTTCGGCAGGGCAGTGAGAAGGAGGCCTCGCGGTGAAGGGGACAGTTGAGCAGAGGCCTGGAGGAACTGAAGAAGTCAGACTTCTGTGCTTTGGGTGCTTTTGTGCATATTCGAAAACCCCACCTGGAGATACAGAGGTTTTTTAAAAAGCTCCTCTACATTGATCAACTAGAAAAATGTTTCTTTGGGAAGCATGAACTCTAGCAGCCTGTGGCTTGGTGAGCAGACAGATGCCCCTCTTTACGGGCAGATGAAGCCCCATGCCTGGGCAGACACTGGGTGAGTAGACAGGGCTAGATTGGGGCTCCCACTCACCGCTCCAGCTGGTCATCCTTGTGTGGTGCACGAACTGCTTAGCCCAGGAGCCCTGCATGAAGGTGTGTGGTGGAATTGTGGGCAGAGAGAACAGGAAAGCCAAAGACCCTGAGGCAGGACAATGTGCAGGAACCAGGGAGGCCAGTGCAGTGGGAGCTCAGTGAGAAGTAGGATTGGAGGAGATGAGCTTGGACTTCGGGTTCACTGATACTGATCATAGTTCTAGTAAAATATTTCTTTAGTTCTTACAGTTTTCAAAGAACATTCAGATATGATTTTATATGATTTCTACAACAACCCATCATAAGAAGCTTGAAGTTAAAAGTTAAGCAACACAATTAGCAAATGTAGAAACTTAGAATTTAACTGAAGTCCTCTGTTTTCACTTTTCTTTATACTGTACCTCAAAGATTCGTTAATAACCTTAAGGCACTAAACCTTTAAAAAAAAAAAAGAACACCAGTTTCCTTACAGAGTTCTATTTTTACAAAACAGAACTTTCTGAACTCTGTGTTGTGATCTGAAGTATCAGGTTACTGTTCTTTTTCTGTAGTTTAATAGATTTTTAAAAATTCTCTATTGCTGTGACTTAGATGGTTTTCATTAAACCATTTAGATCTATTTTCTCATTTAATGAGTATCTAAAATATTATCTTTCATATCACAACACATTTTAGAAACGTGGCCCTTCAGCTAACCCAAATCACATAGCTGTTACACAACTAATAAAAATCTCGCAAGAAGCACTTCTTTGGCTGAAAGGTTCTCCGCATGTTACTCAGGGCTGTCCTGTGAATTTCTTTCAGCTGGAGACAGAGAAGCTTCAGCTGCAAGCCCTTGAGCAGGAGCACAAGCAGCTGGAGGCCCGCCTGGAGGAAGAGCGTGGCAAGAACAAGCACGTGGTCCTGATGCTGGTCAAGGAGTGCAAACAGCTCTCGGGCAAAGTCCTAGAGGAGGCCCAGAAGCTAGAAGACGTGATGGCCAAACTGGAGGAGGAAAAGAAAAAGACGAGTGCATTAGAAGAGGAGCTCTCCACTGAGAAACAAAGGAGCACAGAAATGGAAGCTCAGATGGAGAAACAACTCTCTGAGTTTGACACCGAACGGGAACAGCTCCGTGCTAAACTGCACCGAGAAGAAGCGCACACCACTGACCTCAAAGAGGAGATAGACAAGATGAAGAAAATGATTGAGCAACTGAAAAGGGGAAATGACAGCAAACCAAGCCTCTCTCTCCCGCGAAAGACGAAAGATAGGCGTTTGGTCTCCATATCTGTGGGAACAGAAGGACCTGTGACAAGGTCTGTTGCTTGCCAGACCGACCTACCGATAGAAAGCACTGACCACGTGAAGAAGTTGCCTTTGACCATGCCTGTGAAGCCCCCCACAGGGAGCCCCCTAGTTTCTGCAAACACAAAAGGAAATGTGTGCACCAGCGCCGCACTGGGCAGACCAGGAACCGACAGGCAGCCTTCCCATGGTGACTTGACTGGCTCCTCTCTGCCTACTGTCCCACCTCCAAGTGCAAACAGAGTGGAGGAGAACGGACCGAGCACTGGCTCGCCAAGTAGCACCACCCCACTTCCCAACAGCACTGCCCCTCCCCCCATGCAAACGCCAGGCATAGCTCCCCAGAGCTACTCACAAGCACCACCTACGCACAGTTTACACTCACCGTGTGCCAATGCAGCTTTGCATCCAGGTCTGAACCCACGAATCCAAGCAGCTAGATTTCGATTTCAGGGCAATGCCAATGACCCGGACCAAAATGGAAATACTACCCAAAGTCCTCCATCCAGAGATGTCTCTCCGACAAGTCGTGACAACCTAGTGGCCAAACAACTAGCTCGGAATACTGTGACCCAAGCACTGTCAAGATTTACGAGCCCTCAAGCAGGAGCACCCCCAAGGCCTGGGGTGCCCCCTACGGGGGACGTTGGCACCTGCGCTCCCGTCAGTCGGACCAGTTTAAAGACTCCTGGTGTAGCACGAGTTGACAGAGGAAACCCTCCTCCTATCCCTCCAAAAAAGCCAGGGCTCTCCCAAACTCCTTCTCCACCACACCCCCAACTCAAGGTTATTATGGATAGCAGCAGGGCCTCCAACGCAGGGGCCAAAGGTGATAACAAAACTATGGCTTCGCCTCCTTCCACTTTGCCACAAGGGAACAGGGTAATAAATGAGGAGAATCTCCCTAAATCATCTTCCCCTCAGCTGCCACCAAAACCATCCATAGATTTAACTGTGGCACCAGCAGGCTGTGCCGTTTCAGCCCTGGCCACGTCTCAGGTGGGTGCCTGGCCTGCTGAAACCCCTGGACTGAACCAACCTGCATGTTCAGAAAGTTCCCTTGTCATTCCCACCACCATTGCCTTTTGCTCTTCCATAAACCCTGTTAGTGCCTCATCCTGTAGAACAGGTGCCTCAGACAGCCTCCTGGTAACAGCATCAGGTAAAGGGATTGAAATATTATACCCTTTTTTAAGAATGTGGCCTGTCTCCTCACTTGCCTTAATTTCCTTCACATTGCCTTGAAACTTGTTTTTAAATTTGATACGTTTTTGGTTTTGTTTTCTTTTCCTATTTCTTTCCTCTCTCTCTCTCTCTCTCTTTTTTTTTTTTTTTTTTTTTTTTTCTTTAAAGCCTCCAGGGTATGGTGATTCATCTTGCTATATGAATTGTGGTATCTTGATGCTAAGTGCTTTCTTCTTTTAAAATAACCTGAAAGTAGTGGTTTGGAGCTCATGGAGACCATTAATTTAGAGACACTAAAGCATTTCCATGGGAAGAAAGATTGTTCCTTCTTTTTAAATATTTATCTCAAAAGGTTTCATATATTAGGGGGTCGTCAACAGACAATCTGTGTTCAATTCTATCCCTTTGGAGATAATGGAGATAATCCCTTTAAAGAGTTGTTCAAGTGGTTATTAACACTGTAGTCTACCTCGGATTATCAAATTGATTAGATTTGCTCTGTAATTGATATGTTCTAGGTTTTAATAGTGGTTTGGTATTCTTTTTAACCTCAAAAATAGAGTACATATATTTTAATTCTCTGTTCTAAGTTTAGTTTATTTCAAAAGCTGTTTATTCTGTTCCAAGCTGTTGTCTTCCAACACTTGAGCACAGATGGATAGCATCCCATGGAGGCTATAGTGGAGAAGGTTTTCATTTCAGATGTGGTTTATGAAGTAGGGGACTCTTAAACAAAGGAGTTAATAAAGAACTGGATTTTTCCCTTTTGTTTTACAGTGCTAGAGAAAGCATTGCTTTTTATTGACATGATTGGATTAGTTCTTCACTGAGTAAATGTGGCTCTAAAATAATGTTAGTGTCAAAGTTCTGTTGAAACTTGACAGAAGTCTCTCTTACCATGGGATCTTAATGGCTACCAGAGACCATTGGTTCTAATGGGAGGGAACTTTAAGAATTAAGTGAAGTTTTGAGTAGTGTTATATTTAAAACTCAGGGTGTGGGGAGTGAGAATGAGGAAAATAGGTAGCACCGTTCTTGCTAATTGTCAGGTAATGAGAGCAATATGCCAGGACTTACTTATCTAATTATAAGCTGTCTCCTGGAAATTATGCTCATTGAGAGGCTGCTATTCGTATTTTGGTGCATAATTGGGAATTGGAAACAGCATGGACTTTGATGTCAGTCAGATCTGTGCTGGAATCTAGGCTCTGCAATTTATGGCTGTGTGTTTTGGTGATTTTTCTTGGACTGAGCAAGTTTTCCCATTCTTAATACGGAGCTTATGCTACTCATGGGGTAGGGTGGCTATTAGGATTAACTATCCTAACGTTCAAAGAGCTTGGCATGAGTGATGAGTAAATAGAGGTGATATTCTTGCTTCATTGATATTGTTGCTTAAAACATTTGCTTTAGGATTGACCTCGCTGTTATTACTTTGTGATGTCTTCACAGGCATTCAGCATTCCCTATTTTTTATTCAAAATGATATTACTGAGCTGGACAGCCTTTCTCATGGCCTAAAATGATGGTAGCTGTTTTCCAGAGCTAAATCCATGCTCAAAGGAGGAACTTTTGCTACCGTTCAGGAGAATCAGCGTACTGTAAGGTCTTAAGGCAGTCTCACGCACAGGTCCCAAAACTGTTGGCCGTGGCGATGCTGTTGACATAAATGTGCAAGCTATAAAATGGAAGAACACTTCCTGGGATATATAAATTTTATCAGTTTTTAAAAACTACAAAGCCATCGTTGCTTTGGACTTTGATGCTTTGCCAATTATTGCCTCAGTCGTTGCTGTGCTCCAAGGTTCAGCTTCAGTGTCTTGGTTTCAGTGGAAAAGTTTTAAAATCAGCATCCATACCCAAGAAACATTTTGTCAGCAGGATCTTAAACTTGAAAGAAGAGATTTCCTAGTCTATTATATATTTGCCAGATTGACCTAGCTAGGATAGAGTGGAATTTTGGATAAAGGAGCTATAATCCTTCTGAAAAATGCCCTTTGCTTGTATCTAGAGAGCAAAAGAGGATAAACAGTGGGACCAAAGAAGTAGCAGCCACTGAAGACAGGTGAAAGTCGTTCCTCATTTTCTCTTCTCTGATTTTGCAGTTTGGCCAAAATCATCTTGGAATTCCCAGACTACCCTTGGTGGGATGATAAGTTTCTAAGTCACTTGGTTATAGGGAGGAGTAGTCATTCAGCAAGCTTTTCCTGAGCATCTAGTCTGGGGAATAAAAAAGTTATTACAGTTATGTAGGAGGGGTGATTAAATCAATCATGGTTGTAGGCCAGCCTAACTTTTCCAGATGAGATACAGGATTTCAACTGCTTTTCATTTGGATTGCCCCTATGTTTGCCACCATGCCAGGAAGCACCGGAGCTCCCTCCATCTTGCTTCTTAACCTGTCTGTGCCTGGGTGAACTTGTGCCTCTCCCGATCATAAGCTCATTGAAGGTTATTAATCTGCTAAATAGCCACTAATGCAATTGTGGTTGATAAGCGCAGGGCATGAGGACAGAGCACATCTGCCAAATCCTTGGTAGATAGATGTCTGTTCCAAATTCAGTGAGGAAAAGAGCTCTGGACTGAGTCTAAGAAGACAGGGTTAGTCCACTTCTGCCTCTTTCTAGTGTCACCCTAAAGAGCCTGTTTGCTCTGAGCCATTAGCTTTTTCATCTAAAAATGAAATCATTGAACCAAAAAAAAAAAAAAAACAGTTTCAGTCCAGAAAGATTTATTAAGCTTGTCTTTTGAATTTTTCAAACAGCAGTACACTACCTCTCCCTTCTTGGAGAACCACTAGATCCCATATCTTTAAAACTCTAAAATTCTGAGTTTCTATATCAATTTATATCTGTGACAAACAATTATGATTAAGCTAAAACACTCCTGAGGAGAATTGCATTGACAGAAGATACCATTTTAATGAATTATGTTGTAAATTACTCTATTAGCAGTTTTTATGGCCAAATGTTAAATTTTTAAGTAGCATTTTAAAATCTAAATGAATTAAAATTTCTTGTTCCTCCTGAACTTGTCCAATGAACACATTTTAACTGTTAGATGAACAGAAGCCTAAACCAGAAATCACCTCAGGCAGCTGAGTTTTCATACCCTTGGAAATTTGTTTCTGGTTTGGTTTTGGTTTTGGGTTTTTTTTTGGCGGGGGAGGGGGGTGCTTTGGTACATTTTATTTAATTTGGTTCAGACATTTTTCCTTAAACATAGATCTTTTAAAAGTGATCCTCCATGTATGATTGGCTTGAAGTCTAAATCTGAAAATGAGATTGACCTAAGCTATGACATTAACCTTCTCCACACTCTGAAGCTGATGCCAGAAGCTGTTCTCAACCTCTCTTCCCTCTCGCACTGCACGTTCTCTCTGTTCCCTTCGTCACCCACCGCATGTTCTGCAAGATGCTCACCTTTACTAATGTTTGCATATGACACTGCGAAGCTGAATGACCTTTTTCTAACCTCATTAAAGTAGCTGTATGACGAAGGTCTGTTCTGTCATTACTGTTTTTATCATTGTTGGGAATTTCAAATGAACAATAAAGTCTCATGGTAAAGTTTTATTTTTCCCATATTGATAAAAGGATTCATTAAAATAACTTAAGCAATTGGAAATGAGTGTGGGGATAAAAAAATTTATTTAAGCTTTAAGAATACTTGGTATTTATAAAGCATTGTTCTTTTGTAAAAGATTTTAAAAATATATTTCACACCTCTCAGAAAATACAAAAAAATTTCATGTATATTCCTCTGTTGTTTTGTATGACAGAAAACTGACTCTTCAGTGGTCTAAAGATTGAGAAAATTTTTGAATAAATATTTTCTCTTTCAGATAGCTTAGCATTAAAAATAGAGTTTCCCAGGATACTATATCCCAAGATTCCATAGAAGGCAGTTAAAAATATATCTGTATTTAAATTGTCCCCCAAAGCCTAGAATTGCATTGGAAAAAAAAAATGAAAATAAAATCCAAAAGAAGAGCAAACCATTTGATATTTAAGTGTTGATATTCTTGACAGGATATCAATAACGAAGACAGCTTGGATGAGCTAGAGGAGGTGGGGGTAGCAGGAAGGACAGTGAGAGGAGAGGGAGGGAAGGGTGGGGAGAGCGCGCACCGGGAGCTCAAGGAGAGAAGCTCACTGCCTTGTGAGCCACACTCCCTTCTATTCCACAGAGGACCACCTTGCAATGCCTTCATGTTACCTTTGTGTTTGCTTTGCAGTCAAGGTATCATACCTTGGTGTTTATAATTTCTCTGTTTATCATCCATTTCTAATAAGTACTGATTTAATTTTTGTGGGCTTGTTTTTTTTTGTTTGTTTTTAAGAAAATACAAAAGGTAAAATGTACCAGAGAGGAGCCTTCTTGTAAGTATGAAGTAAAAATACTACTTTTGTAAGAAGAGCTAATGAATATCAATGGGAAAATATCATAAAGTTTAGATAAATATTTAATTTTATGAGCATTTGAATTTTGTATGTCATTGCAGTCTAACAGGGTAAAAACAATAAATTGTTCATGGACCCAAATAACTAATTATGAAGACGTAATATCCAGCTTTTAATAAACAGTCTTGTTTTATTTGTATAAACTCTTTTCACAACGAACTTTTAAAATACCAAGAAATCCTTTGATTTTAATATTTATTAAAATAATTCAAGTCTCAATTATACAAATTTATTGCTTATTAATGTAATACCCGTATACGTAGAATATTATCCTTATACCAAGGTGGCGGAGACATAAAAGATCCATCAATTGTGTCCGACTACAGAGAATGTTACTGGGTTTATGTAGAAAGCGTACCATGAAAAGTGAATATGTGCACATAGGCCCCTCTGTATACACCAGACATTACTTTGAGGTATTTGGGGCTTCAAAAGGAAGAAAGTACAGTGACTTATTCTGAAAGTTAATTGTATCTAAAACACATAAAATACCTATATATCACATTAAATAAACATTTTTACTTTACTGTTTTTACAGCCTTTTGACCAAGGAAGAATTCAGAAAATTTTCCATGCTATATGCAGCCGACTTCACACACTTAACAGATTCTCTTCTAAAGCTGCTAAATACTGATGAGAAATATCTAACTATGATAACTCTTATGATTCTTGTTAAAACTATATGGTAGAGTGTCCTGTTTTGTTGGCTGGTTAAAAGTTTCTGGTATACAAGTTGTAAAGATGGCCAGGTGATAAAGTCTTCAGAATCGTGTTTTGCATTACTTGTGCTGGTATACAGTATTCTAGATTCAATTATATATGTTGTGCTTCTATTAGCTCTTGATACTGAATAGCGCTTGGCTCCCTCCATTTTTTTTTTCCCCAAATAAGGGAATTCAAGGAATGTAAATAGATTTCTTGGCAATATTTGGTCTATCTTAATGGTCTGTGTAAAATTTTTAGTTAAGTACCTTGGAAACATGGTTGAAAAAATAAATCTCTATTTCTTACAATTATTTCTGTACCTAAAGATGTCAGTTCACTTTGCAGATTGATATTGAAATTGAGGAAATCTATACATAATTTTAAAATTCAAATTGTTTTGAAGCCCTGAAGTGGAATTTGAACTTTTAAAATGAGACAGCCATCGTAGTTTCCTAAAACCAATCACCACTTTAACATTTATCTGTGTAAGACTGACAACTAAAAATAATATGTCACTGTGTATGTTAACTTAATTAGCAGATACAAGATTGAAATAACAGTACAGATTTGTGCTAAGTAAATATTAACAGATTGATAATGTTAGAAACCACATAATCCTCTAAGGATACGTATTCATATGTCTGTGTGTGTGTGTAATTCAGAAACAAGTGGGTAATATCTGTCTCTTGTCCTTGCTCCTACTCTCTAACTAGGGTCACTTTAACCCACAGGCTGGTCACCCTCCCTAACCCCTTTGCTAATGAGTGGTGGTCCTGCCCCCCTGGCTGGCAGGCCCACCCTTCTTCAGCAAGCTGCTGCCCAGGGAAATGTCACTTTATTATCAATGCTGCTTAATGAAGAAGGACTGGACATTAATTACTCCTGTGAAGATGGCCATTCTGCCTTGTATTCTGCTGCTAAGAATGGACATACAGGTAAAGATGGTGAGATCTTACCTCTTGCAAAAGGATGGAGAGTCAAAAGCACTGGTAACCATTGCTATGAGCAAAAGGTTCTTTTGGTTTTGATTTTGTCTTACAGGTGGTAGTGGATAAATTTTTTTTTTACTTGATTTGAAGATTTTGTAAATATTAAAAAAAAAAAAATCCAAATTGTAGTTTTGTAAAAATGTAAGATTTTAGGGGCACCTGGGTGTCTCAGTCATTTGAGCAACTGACTCTTGATTTCAGCTCAGGTCATGATCTCAGGGTCGTGAGATCGACCCCCCCCTCCCCCCCTTGGGCTCCACGGTCAGCACAGAGTCTGCTCTAGATTCTCTCTCTCCCCTCTCCCTCTGCCCCTCCCCCCATGCTCGCTCGCTCACCCTCTCTCTCTCAAATAAATAAAAATCTTTTTTTTAAAGTAAGATTTTATTGCAGCTAGCAAAAAGTGATATTTGTTTTATGCACAATGAAATGTATGGTATATGTCAAAATTGGGGGTCTAGTACTATGAAGCACATTTTAGAATAAAGCCTCCCATCTGTGATCACTTTAGTCAGGACAAAATAGCTTAATTTGTCTGTTAGAATACCTGTGTGTGAAACTCAAAGTGACAGGTCTTAACACATGATACGGTGAGGGCAAGTTTTAGTAGTTCTAGAAGGTCATGGGTCTGAAACTGTTCTATAGTTGGAACAATTTATAGTTATTTGGATTTTTTTTTAAGAGAGCTGAGGAGTTGTACAGCTATAAATGATATGTTGGTGAAGTCTGGGAATTATTCTTGTTTCTTAAAATGCAAGTCTTGTGGTCAAATTTACTAAAACATGGTAGTGCAGAAAAAGATAATTTGACTGCAAATCCAAAATCAAATAGCATTGCTCATATAAGCTGCATGATTGTTGAGTAATTCACAGAAGTTTTCAGAGCTTCACTGTGTTCAAGTGGACTAACTGGAAGAATCTAGTGAGCTAAGAAGATAGCTCATGATTTTAAAAGTACCTTCGGATTCTTTACTTCAGAAGCCCTGTGGGAATTTTCTTTAATGTAGAGATATTAAATCTAGTAAATACCATGAGGAACACGAGTCCTAGATGATATTTATGTCAGAGTCAGGTGACTTTATGTGGGTTTACCTCACACACTGCTACATGTAGGATGACCATCACACAGAAGTGTTTTAAAGGTTAATTATCACAAAGTAAGAATTTAACTATTTAAATACAAAGAATGGTATTTCAATTTGGTAAGTAGATTTAGTTCTCTATCCAATAACATTATTTTCTGGGATAGACTGGTGCAAAAATCTGGTAAAATATTTTCTGACACATAACAATCCTTTCTCTCATCAGCAACTCTTCCCAAAGTAACACACACACACACACACACACACATAAATATCACGTCTTACTTAGTTGGTGAGTCTGGGGCATTAGCATCTTCTGGAAAAGAGGCTACTTTCTCTGTAAAATAGCCTGTGGAGTCTCATATCCACCATGCTAGAATTGTCAGGTGGACTGTGCACGGGAGAGGTCCTTTGGGTTTAGCATCTATATAGAGCTTGTTTAGAATTTGGCTCACCATAACTCTAGATGGGGAATTTAAATGGCTTTCTATTAAAATCCATAGACTGTGTGAGATTGCTGCTGAATGCAGAAGCCCAAGTCAATGCTGCTGATAAAAATGGCTTCACACCCTTGTGTGCTGCAGCTGCTCAGGGACATTTCAAGTAAGTGATGCTCTGAATTCTTCTTTCTCCCCCTCTATGAAAAGAGTCTCTCTATAATTTGCACACATATTTCATTTCTGAATGTGTAAACTAGTGCTTAAAATCCACTGGCAAATAAGTTCACTAAGTATATTTGAAGATTTAAATGCAAAGTAGGATCTTAAATGTGCTCTTCTTATTTAAAGGTAAATAGTTGTATATGAGGGAAGTAAAGAAGAGAAATATGTTGTGTGTCAACCCGACATGAATGAACTTACTTCTGAAGAAGAAAATCGATTTATAGTCTATCAACATATATGCGGTGATACATACACTGTTAAAGACTGTCATTCACTGTTTACCACAACCCCAATGCAAAAAAGGTTTTTCATTAAAAATAAATCCTAGAATTATATTAATTACAATAATCTTAACTTCTGAGTGGCAATTTATTCAGTATTAAATCCCAATATATTCACCTTGTTTTGTCATTTAAAAAAAATTGAAGCAGAAACTTTTCATACTAAATGTAATTAGAGCACAAACTACCAACTGAAATATGTGTAAGTTTAGCAGTGATTTCTTCAGTAGCCTACCAAGAAATGGTTTTTTTTTAACGTTTTTTTAAAATTTAAATTCAGTTAATTAACATATAATGTATTATTAGTTTCAGATGTAAGAGTTTAGTGATTCATCAGTCTTATATAATACCCAGTGCTCATTACATCATGTGCCCTCCTTACTGCCCATCACCCAGTTACCCCATCCCCCCACCCCCAGCCCCTCCAGTAACCCTCAGTTTGTTTCCTATGATTAAATGAGTCTCTTATGATTTGTCTCACCTCTCTGATTTCTTCTTGTTTTATGTTTCCCTCCCTTCCCCTATGATCCTCTGTTTGTTTCTTAAATTCCACATATGAGTGAGATCACATGATAATTGTCTTTCTCTGGTTGACTTATTTTGTTAGCATAATACCCTCTAGTTCCATCCACATCAATGCAAATGGCAAGGTTTCATTTTTTTTTTTTTAATGGCTGAGTAGTATTCTGTTGTATATATATATATACCACATCTTCTTTATCCATTCATCTGTCGATGGGCATCTGGGCTCTTTCCATAGTTTGGCTATTGTGGACATTGCTGCTATAAACATTGGGGTGCAGGTGCCCCTTCAGATCCCTACATTTGTATCTTTAGGGTAAATCCCTAGTGCAATTTCTGGGACATAGGGTAGCTCTATTTTCAACTTTTTGAGGAACCTCCATACTGTTTTCCAGAGTGGCTGCACCAGCTTACATTCCCACCAGTAGTGTAGGAGGGTTCCCCTTTCTCTGCATCCTCGCCAACATCTATCGTGTCCTGACTTGTTAATATTAGCTATCTGATACAAATGTCCCTTAACATATTTCATAATTCCTGTAATGTGGGTTTTAAGGTTCACACTAATGTTATTAATTATACGTGTAAGTTTTAAATACCCAAAATGCATCTTTAAAGTATACGTTATTTTTTTCTGCATGTCTGATGCACACTTCGTGAGTTTATTGTTGAGGACCATAGATACTGGTTTTGCTGTTACTTTGTGCATGCGTCCTGAATCCTCCAGAAGGGATTTCTTCTTCAGGCCTATGCTTTTACATTTATTGTCACCCAGCAATCTGTAGTGCCACTTACTTGGGAAGTCTAAGAGCGTCAGGAGTGTAGGCGTGGATAGCTTTGCCAAAAGGAAGAACCCTGGGGGTTGATTAGTTTAAATGTACATGAGATAAAAACACATATCAATATGTAACTCATTTTTTAAATAGATATATACCAAATGTTTTCAAGAAAATCCCAGGGAAAAAAAGGCATAAATCTGAAGTAAAAAAAAAAAAAAAAATGAAGATGATGTAAATTGCTTCTTAATTTGATTATGATTTAGCCCGCTTTTCTCCATTTATTTGCATGTGATTTTATAAACGCTTTGCACAAATGCCACAAAGTCTTGAATTTACCTCATTTTTTTCCTCCTTGATTCTCAGAGCAATGAATTTCTGCTTAGCCGTCTTTTTCCTTGTAAATAGCCCCCCTTTAGGAGACGGGATAGCCTCTGCTGTCTGTTCTCCCCAAGGCAGCCCTCTGCTCTGGTCCCTGCTGCCTTTTATAGTGGAGGCACATGGTGCCCTGCTGTCTGAGCTATTTATAATTATTTTCTCAAGTGAAAATCTCAAAATGACTCAGCAGTCCTTTTTCAAGGTTTAAGCTATTTTGAACCACAAATAATATATATGTCAACCACAGTGCAGCCATTCATCCCAATTAGTTAAATATATTGCAAGGATTCCACGTTTACAAATTGGTTACAGAAAAATGTCAAAACCAAGTTTTAGCACTTGATCAACCTGGCTACTTTAAATTTTCATAGGAGTAATTAAATTTGTGATTAAAGTATATCTTTTAGCCTTGCTACAAAACAGTATCCATATAAGACCCCCCAGTAATTGACACATATATAAGTAAAAACAATGGATGTAGAAAGATACAGAATTGCTTTAGCATTATTTCCTATATTTAATATCTGGGTCAGGTGCTTCAGAAATCAAACCAGTTTTATTGTGATTAATCACAATCTTGTGTTTAGGTGTGTAGAATTATTAATTGCATACAACGCCAACATTAATCATGCTGCTGATGAAGGACAGACACCTCTATACCTGGCTTGTAAAAATGGAAATAAGGAGTGTATCAAACACTTACTGGAAGCCGGAACTGACCGAAGTGTAAAAACCAGAGTGAGTACCAGTTTTTGGGGGGATTTTGTCCTGTAATTTACCCTGTCTGCTAACTCTGTAGCCAGAAAAACAAAATATATTAAAATAGACGTTGCTTTGATTTGCTTTTTTGCTTTTAGGGTATCAAATATGGACAGTGTCTGACCTCTGACTTCTGTTTAAGTGTCTGCTAATGAAAAGCTTTGTCTGTTAGCCTAACCAGTCCTTTGTCCTCTGAACCTCAAATTATTCATCTGTAAAACAGAAAAACGAGTGCCTGTGTCCTGGCTATTTTCCGAATCAGGGGAGATAATGGAAGTATAAGTTTTTCATCATTCGACAAATATTACCTGAGCACCGGCTGTCCTCGGGACAGGAGAGACAGTAGCAAATCAAACAGTTCTGTCCTCATGGATCTTATTTCCTCATGGGACGGGAGGGGTGACCATAGACAAGTAAGTAAACAGATAGTAGCTGGATGTTTCGAAGATCAGAGTGCCTGGGGTGGGGGGTTCCTTCAGTTGGTGGGAAAAGTCTTCATTGAAAATGTGACAGTTGGGTCAAGACCTGAAAGAAGCAAGGGTGTGGGCCATGAAGAGACACGGGGAGCAGTGTGCCAGGCCGGGGGTGGGAGAGCGGTGGTACCCTCAGTGGACCTCAGGCAGGCCAGTGTGGCCAGAGGCCAGCCACAAAAGGCCTCCTGGGCCATGGCAAGCACTTGGAATAAGGCCTTTGGATGGATGGTTTTGAAGGAGCAAAGACATGAACTGACTCATTTTTATGAGTCCCTTTGGCTGCAGGTTTGAGAATAAACTGTAGGTGGGGCAGAGCAGCTGCAAGGGAGACCCATAGGAATCCTGTTGTTTTAATCCAGGGAAGAAGCAATAGTGGTTTGGATCAAGGTTGAGGGGTAGAAATGGTGGGAAATGATCTAATTCTGGATATATTTTCGAAATGCATATTTTATAAAAGAGCTGCAGAAGTATCACCTGTTTCGGTAGTGGTAGTAACAATGACATAAAATTATCGCATAATGGCTGAGGGATTTCAGGCTCTGAAATCAAAGCTTTGAGGCTCAAACCATGCCTTCACAAAGCTGTGTGAGCTTAGGCAAGTTATGGTACTTCTCTGTGTCGTGGTTGACCCTTCTACAAAATGAGTCTAATAATAGTAGCCATTGTTAGGGTTATGAAAGTGAAATGAGGTTATCTATATAAGGTAGTTGGTATAGTGCCTGGGAACTGTAAGCAATAAACATGTTAGCTGTCACCATGGTCACCATCATCATCAGTTATAACGTGGGACTCAGTTGTAACACGTGTAAACAAAAGGAAGTTTTGTGACAAGATAGTGCCCACTGTCAGCACTTAGAGGAGGGTTATTTGTGCTCATTTGTTATTGCTAAGATTGTGTAGCACCTCACAGAGTTCAGGGTCATTGTCTAATTTGCCTCAGAACTGGAAGCACTATATGCAGAAATCCATCAGGGACCCCAAGTCGCTCTTGACTCTGTCCCACACAGTTCTGATGTCTCCTGTACAAGGCGCACAGATAACGTCAGTGATTTAGAAACTGAAGACCATTAGAGTCTGATGCATGGAAGAGTCCTTGGATAACACTGCTGGCTCAGCCACACAGAAATGCATTTGAAACAAAACTTCTCAATTAGCCCTCCCAAATTTGTCTTCATCAACATGTTGTGAAACAATTGAAGACCAAGGCATCAGCTCTGTGCACACAGCTCTGTGCACACATGCATTTCTCTGATGGTGCCCTCTCTGGGCTGGAGGAGTTAAGGAGCTTCCATCATGATCCACTCTTCATTGCACTCAGGAATTACCGTATTTTTGTCTTTGCAGCTTCCCAGAATATTAAAGGTGTAACAGTCACCACGCTACCATATATTCCTAATGAAAGACGAGCATAGATACTTAATTTCCAAAGGTTATCTGAACCTTGGATTTCTTCTGTTGGTAGAGAATTGACTATGCTGTGCATTCCTTTCACAGGAAACATCCTTAAAATTTCCCAGGATAAAAAGGTCCATTATCTATTTTATAGGTCACCCTTAGATCCTGGATTGTTGTTGGTTTTATATTTTCTTTTTTGTTTGTTTTTTATGACAAGTGCACTCCTTAATCCCCATCAACTGTTTAACCCACCCCCCCCTTCCCGACCCTCCCCTCTGGTAACCATCAATTTGTTCTCTATAGTTAAGACTCTGTTTTTGATTTCTCTCTCTCTCTCTAACTTTTTTCCATTTGCTTGCTTGTTTTGTTTCTTAAATTCCACATATGAGTGAAATCATATATTTGTCTTTCTCTGACTGACTTATTTCAATGAGCAATATGCTCTCAGGCTCCATCCATGTTGTTGCAAATGGCAAGATTTCATTCTTTTTTTATGGCTGAATAATATTCCATTATATAATATATATCTCACATCTTCTTTATCCATTCATCAATCGACACTTAGGCTGCTTCCGTATCTTGGCTATTGTAAACAATGCTGCTATAAACATAGCCTTTGTAATGTAAAAATTAGGAAAAAGTCAAGAGATTTGACTAGGGAAGGTCAGGAGCACTTACACTCTGGTGCCTAATTAAGGCCTACCCAGTAATGGTGTCCACAGCCCAACAAAGAATAAGCCATGAAACGCTTTACCTAGCTGGAATATGCCTGAGGAGTCTAAGGTATTCTCTTTACTGCCCAGCCATGGTCTTGTCATAGCCAAGCCGACTTCATTGGTATGAAGTATAGAACCAGAGAAAAATCCACTTCATCAAGAGCCAGCTTTAGCAAATGATCAGATAACTCACTCTAAATGTACATTGTTACCACTTACTGTCTTTCCTTGTGTTCTACCTCATTATTTTCTTAAAAAGTGTGCTTTAGCTCACTGAAAGATATTTAATATAACAATATGAAATACCCCATGAAAAAAAAAATTCGCCAAAAAGAAAATAAAGATAGGAAAATAAAGTAAAAGATACAAATCACCAAAATAATTCTGTTCTTTTATGAAAGTCTTAAAAATATAATGAAGACTGGTACCTGAGTGGAAGGAAGACCCTTGAGAGATGGAAAGGGGACCAAGATTTTCCCTGGAAAAGTGCTTGTCACACTTCGGTGCATCTGAATCACCCGGAGGGCTGGTGAAGGCACAGATTGCCTTCTCATTCAGTCGGTCTGGGTGAAGGCTCAACAACTCTCCTCTCTAACAAGTTCCCAGGTGATGCTGCTGCTGGTCTGGTGACCACACTTGAGAACCACTGCCCTAGAAAAGAGTTCTAAGTGAATGTACCCTAGCAACCAGCCAAGTGGATAATGAAGGCCTCACAGTAATATATTCTAGAGAGTGGGCCCAATAATTTTAGTTGGAACATTTTCTAAGCTTGCATTTATCAGTTTCCAACTGCAATCACAGAACTCTCAATAAAGGCCCATACCCATTTCATGAAGTTATTTGGCCTTGCTTTTCCTGTATGTCTAACTTTACCCTATTATCTAGATTTTTTTCCTTCAAGAATCGTTGGCCTAAAATTTTAAGATCACCAGTTGGGACTCTGCCCTATAAGTAAAACTGGTTTATAGCAGCATTCAGTTAGTACATTACTAATAATACTGTCCTTGGATATAAATTTTGAAAAATCTTTGTGCTAACGTTCATTCTTTTTTGTATTCTTAAACTCCAAATGGCTAACTGTTAAGTGGAAATTCTTACAAAACAGCAAACATGAGTCATAGCAGTGGGAAATACGGTAATTGACAGAGGTCAGAGAACTTGACTCAGCTCATCAGTGACATTCAGGATTGGAATGCCTGCTTTTCCCTGCTCACTGGTCCATGCCCAAGAACTTTTAGAGGTGAACTTTAAATAATACTGTTCTCAACATCCATGTTGTAATCAACCCTTTCCTCCTGGTCATTTTATCATCAGGATGGCTGGACACCAGTTCATGCAGCTGTGGACACTGGTAATGTGGACAGCCTCAAGCTTCTTATGTACCATAGAGCACCAGCTCGCGGAAACTCTTCGCATGAGGAGGAACCCGAGTCAGGTGTCTTTGACTTGGATCAAGGAGAAGAGAGTCCCGAAGGCACATCCAAGCCGGTTGTTCCTGCAGACCTCATTAACCATGCTGACGGAGAAGGCTGGACCGCTGCCCATATTGCTGCCTCAAAAGGTTTTAAGGTGTGTCTGGTAGAAGCTGGCGTCTTTACAGTTTGATGCGTGACACAGTTGTCTGCTATTGACTGAGAGTATTTCAACGGAATGATTGGAGACTGAGTGATATTGCAGGAGACAGTCAACTACCAATATGAACTGCCTTTTTTTTCTGTCCCATAGTATTTACAGTCAACCATATATGAGACTTCTTTTTTTAATAAGATTTTATTTATTTGAGAAAGAGAACATGCACAAGCAGGGGGAGGGGCACAGGGAGAGGGAGAAGCAGACTCCCCGCCTGTCATAGGGGGCTCAATCCCAGGCCCCCGAGATCATGACCCCAGCTGAAGTCAGAGGCTTAACTGACTGAGCCACCCAGGCGCCCCGAGACTTCTACAAAAATCATACTTGGAGTTTGTTAACAAATGTGGGAGTGATTTCAGACTTTTTTTTAAAAATCTCATGTAAAATTAGGAGAAAGAGTTTGGTGTTGATTTAGCCTACGGGATTGTTTGACTCAAGGACCAAGGCTATGCTGCTGGTTAGAGGGAGGGCCAGGATTCAGATGCATGCTCTCAACTCTGAACTGCCTCCCTTACATTCTTCCTGTGCTGTTTTACTGGTAGGTATGAGGGCGCTCAAGATTTCACGCATCAGTTAGAGTAGAAAATGATTCTGATTATTCAGGAAATAATAGGCCATTCCCTCATGCTTTTTCCTGTTTTGATCAGTTTAGCAATAATGTACTTTAGTGATAAAAAGCTATTAGGAAGCTCCTGAGTGCAAGGCACTGTGTAAGCTGTCATCGGCAAGGGATCACTTACACCATCAGCTAACTCCCTAGTTCAGTGGCAAGAGAACAGGATACAAGACAAGTGTAGGTAAGAGAACACAACAAATTAAAATAAGGGTATTGGACATGAGGTTGGAACAGTATACAAATGCAAATTTTATTTTTTGAACAAAGAGAATGCACCTATATCAGAGAGCAGAGTCACAGGGATCTTAGGCTCAGAAATGGCTCTTTCAGGAGGCACTGGAAGGGATTTTGGCCTTGCTGGGTGGGTTAAATTTGCCACTCATCACTGGGATTGGAGAGTAGGTCAGACTGGGCAGCAGCAGGAGTAGAGACTGGAAGGAGGGACGTGAGCAACAGCACAGGCCGAGCTGATGAGGGACGGTGAGAAATAAGATGGGACTGGGGGTTTCGTAGTCCGACGTGGGCTTCAGTGACATTTTAAGGAGTTGGGGCCTTTTCTACTGGTCAGAGTAAAGCCACTGAAATGTTTTGTACAAAGGAGCAAAATAATCAGCTCTCTAGTTTGAATGATTAGCAATAACACAGAGAAGATTGGGGGTTATGAAAAAATTGGTGGCAGGAAGAGAGACTAGGTGAAAGATGAAGAGAGTGGCAGATATAATGAGACACATTACAGACCAGAAGTGTCTTCGGGTTGCAGACAGATTAGATGCAGGAAAAAAGGGAGCTGACTTGAGAAGGGGAGCAGTGACGCTCCCAGGAAGAAAAAAGGAGAGGCATCATTGTGATCAAGAAGATAGAACGTGGGTTTAGACATGCTGGATTTAAGTGCTGAGATGTTCATCCAGATGGAGATGTCTGGGAATAGCTAGAAACTGCATTTGGGTAACTTCCTGTTATTACAACCTATTATAACCCAGAACAGAAGCTGTTCATTTTGGACTTTTTTTTTTTTTAAATGAGAAAAGCATGATTTAGTTAAATGTGGAGGTATTGCTTGTTAGTAGTTTGCTCCCATTTTACCCTTTAACAAAAAAGTACAAAAATTTTGTGAACTCGATACACATGTCTTGATTTGAATGGGATGCAATATGCATGACATAAAAGTTTTTAGGAGACAACGATGAGAACTGTGAAAAGTTTACATTTGAAAATGCATGGTTCATCTTAGGCCATGAATCTCATTTGGTGGTAGAAGGGTACATTGAAGGAGTTGTTTTCAACCTACTTCCACCCCCTCAAGAAAATCTCTGAAGAGTGGGTTGTGTACACGCTCAACCTGGAGGCAAAAAAAGACAAACAAACAAAAGAAACCCTGAGCATCACTGATCTAGAATGTTCAGCTGCTGAACCTCTCATGCTAAGCAGAGAGAGAAAGTGCTCCCAGGGTGAGTGACCCTGCAGTGTAGGGCTCTTGTGTTTCTGCTCAGCTCCTTAATTATGAACTCCTTCTTGGTCCTCGTGCTTTTTGTAATCAGGGATGGTATCTTCATGGATCCTCAGGCCCCTGGTACACATAGATGCTCTGTCATTGTTGAGTAAAGGGAAATATGACCACTTTCTCTCATAGAATACGACTGTCCCTGTATTTTCTATAAGAGGCAGAAGATAAATTTTGAATGAGAAAAGAGATTTTTAAAAGTGATCATGACTGGGATGCCTGGGTGGCTCAGTCGGTTAAGTGCCTACCTTTGGCTCAGGTCATGATCCCAGGGTCCTGGGATCGAGTCCCACATCGGGCTCCTTGCTCTGCGGGAAGCCTACTTCTCCCTCTGCCTGCCACTCCCCCTGCTTGTACTCTCACTCTCTCTCTCTCTCTGTCTAGCAAATAAATACATAAAATCTTTAAAAAAAAAATAAAAAAATAAAAGTGATCATGACTGACAACTTTGGCACACTGCTGAGTAAAATCATAGATTAAAAAAATAGATTTTTTTTTTTTAGCCCCAGAATGGATACTTCATCTTCCAGTCTAGCCTCTTCATTTTATGATTAGGACATTTAAACCCTGGAGGGAGTACTAGAGAGAAGTTGGGAATGAAGCCCAGATTGCCTGATTTCATTATCTTCACACTGTACCATGCTGCCCTCCTTCCTAGTCAAAGGTATTGGAAAGTCCTTCTGCGTCATTTGCCTAATAGAGTTCATATCCTGGCTAAGATTGTTCTCCAGAGAAGTAATCCATTTACAACTAATTTCCTAAGACTAATTTTCTGAAAAAAATAATTACAATTCTGAATCATTTTGCGGGTGAAAAATTCTACCCTGGCCACAAGCAGAGCTTAAAAAATGAATGTTTCTTCTCTGTCCAGCAGCGTATATGTGTCCGACCTATATAAGGTAGCAGTACATCATTACTTGTTTCCACATGTTTTTCAATAAAGAATTGTGGCATTTCAGAGCTTGAAGGGATATAGCTCATCGAGCCCAACCTCCTCATTTTGTAGATGAAAAAATCAAGTCTCAGAAAATAGTGTAACGCATTCCCCAAGGTCAGTTCATGGAAGATCAGATTCCCAAATCAGTGCTTTTCCCACTTTAGTCCTTTGTCTTTCTCCCAATGGCTAAGCAATTTATGCTAGTCGCCCTTGAGTGTTTGCTAATAGGAGTGCCTCTCTCTAAAGCCTGCCTGTGACTAATCATTGAGCATAAACGTTTCTTTTCATCACAGTGTGAACAGAAAGAGTTTCTTAGTGAAACTGGGTTGTGTCATGTGACCTTTGACATGTCAGGTTTGTGCAGCAGAAACATTAGGGAGATGTTCTGAATTTGATATCTCTGTTGTTGAAGCTCTCGTACAAAGAGATTCTTTATTTCCGAGGACTGTGTGTGTTTTTGGCTGCAGGACTAGATTATAATTCTAGTTTATAGATATGACCAAAGCTGGTGGCTTCCTGTCACTCAGGCTCTTACTCAGCCTCTCTGGGTTAATGTGTTGACTATTTCAGGCAGACTCCTTCCTCCACTTTCGACCCTGCCCCATCCTCACTTCCCCTCCTGTTTCAAGGACCAGGCTTTCTCTTTTTTTTTCTGGTTTTTCTCTTTTGTTTAACCGTAAGCAACTCCCACATTCCGTTTGTAATTGGCTGGTCCTGTTTTTTAAAGAGTTTATCCAGTCTTTCAGCTTTAACTGTGGCTTCTGCAGTAAAGCATCCCAAACGCAGATCTCCACACCTGGCTTTTTACCTGTCTTCTAGACATTTATTTTCGGCATCCTGGCAGTCATCTCTGGGCAGGCCTCCTGCCCTCTGATCAGACAGTGGCCCTTTTGTTACCATCATTAGGTCATTTTTGCATTGTGTTAGGATTGTGGTCTGCCTGACACATTATTATCTTCTAGCAGGAAGTGTCATGCTCCCTCGGACGCAGTAGCATCCACCCCGACTGGGTGGTCTGGATGAGGCTGTGTGTCTCAAGTATAGAGTCCCACAGGGGACCCCAAGATTTAGATTTCCTCTCCCTGGGTCATGGCTGCAGAGAATAAGATTATAGGAGTCACTGAGTTTCTTTCTTGTCATGCGGAATTGGGTAACTGGTTGGGAGAGGAGAAAGATAAGATATCTATGAAGTTGGACCAACTCTTTGGAACTAGGTGTTGATCATGATAAGTAGAAATCTGTTCTTGGGAATCTGTTTTTTGTGCTTTAGATTCTCCACGATTATTTCCTTTTTTCCCCCTTAATTTTTATAAAATTATTATTAATTTTTTTTAAAGATTTTATTTATTTATTCATAAGAGACAGAGAGAGAGAGGCAGAGGGAGAAGCTGGCTCCCCACTGAGCAGGGAGCCCGATGCGGGACTCGATCCCAGGACCCTGGACCATGACCTGAGCCAAAGGCAGATGTTTAACCATCTGAGCCACCCAGGCACCCTATAAAATTATTTTTGAAAAGGCCAGACTGACTCAGCTGTTAATAAACAAAGGGAAGGCTATTTTTTTTAACACCTATTCCAGAATATTCAGTGCAGAGTATTGCATCCTTGCTTAATTTGAGCAGCAGTGATTAACCGACAGGATCCTAATGGATTCTAATCTAAACTTAGCCAACCAAAGTCCTATTCCACCCCTCACCCAAGATATGGACTCTCCTTGTTTTCCACGAACACCTTTCATGGATCTGGGTTTTGACCCTTTTTCTCCTCGTGCTCTGTACTTTTTCCCTTGCATGATTTTACTGATCCCCAGATTATAACCTAGAAATTCCAAAATGTTGTCTCTAGCCTTACCTAACCATTTCCTGAATCTACCCAAGAAGGTCCTATTCAGGAGGGCCACAGTTTACAGGGCATCTCCTTAGAAACTAGAGCAGCAAAATTCCTTTGTCCAGTACAGTCATTCTTTATGCCTGTCATCCCAGTGTAATTATTAACAGTACCCCCCTTTTTACTCTTAAAAGTGTACCAGTTGGGGAATTATATGGTAACCCCATTGATGATCATATTCACTTTTGCTTCCATCAGAACACTCCACCTGGCTGCATCCTTGGGCTCCCGTGTTTGTGCTCCTTAGCCCGTCTGCTGCATCTCTTGTTCCTTCTGAATCCAGTACCATCACCTGGCATTTGTGTTTACTTGCTCCGTCTTCCTGACTTAATGAATTCAAATGATCGGTACAACTCTAGATTTTAATTCCCTCGCATATGAATTTTGACTATGTTGCCTCCTCCATATCTCGTGGGCACTGCCCCTGGGGAGCCCTCCTCGTCTGCTGTCTAGATTCGTGCAGGTTCTGCCAGGCTCTTCATCTGCGGTCTCTCCGCCCCCTTAGCTCACCATGAGAGGGTCTTTCAGACGGGAACTTCTTCATGTAATTTCCCTGCTTAGCGTCTTTTCAAGGGTCTGTCACTTCCAGGATAAGTGCCAGACCTATATGGCGACAGACAAGTCCCTTCTTGATCTGGACTCAGTTCACCTCCAAAGGCACACTTCCTGTCTCCTTCCCTAACGCGCTGTGCGCTCTCGGCAGGCACCACTGGCTACTGTGCAGACGCCCTGTGCTCTCTCCTCTCCCTGTCTTCCTGTCTCCGCTTCAGATTAACCTCAAATGGCCTCTTCTCCTCTCCTGACCCTTCCCTGCCTGGAAAACAGCTCAGCTCAAGTCTTGGCTTCCAAAAGAGGTGCTCCCAGGGCTCCTCTCCACACTTCACTTAGAGCGCTTCTACTTTAATTGTTTGCATGCCTGTCTCTCTTTCTGTCTCCTCCAAAAAATAAAAAAATACCACTTTTCCATTTTTGTGTGTACTGTGTCCGGCAGAGTCTCTGGCCTGCGAGTACTGTTGGCTGAATTGATGAGTGAATGGACTGTTCCTGCAGTTCTTTCTTACTGAGCTCCTTCCTTTCACCCTCCTTTCCAGTATACCTTCCAAATGTACCAGTTGGTTTTCAGAATCATGCTTATCATGGCATTTTGCTACCTGAATATATCCTCATGCCTACAGAAAACCTATCTTCACGCCAGCCTTAGAACTCAGCCCTTCACAGCGAACTCCAGCTATGTTTGTCTTTGGCCATTCACCCCTAAATCTACCTTGTTGCTTATGCCATCATTTCTCATTCTAACAGCCTTCCATCTTCCCTGCAAGACAGTGGGCACACCCATACCCCCAGGGTGTCCACTCTGTGCATTTGCAGACTGCTTTCACTCTCCCTCCCTCTGCCCAGTGTCAGACTCTCAGCTCCCTGACCTGACTTTGATCTTCTATCTAGCTCTTTGGACTTGGGGTTTCTACTCAGTCTCCCTGGCACTTCTACCTTGCTTCTCAGCTCTCCTTAAAGGACCATGGCAGAGGTCGGTCACTGACCTTCAACATCTCTTTCCCCCTTCCTCTGTAATAGTGGATTCTGCAGAGTTCTGGGCTCATGACCACCCAAACTAAAGACCACATTCTCCAGACTCCTTTGCAGGTAATAAGGTCACCTACCTAAGTTCTGGTGGGTGGGACGTGAGTGGAAGTGAAAGCTTAAGCTTAAACCTCTGCTTTTTAAGTGTCTGTTGTAGCAGATATATCTCTATCATGATGAATAGGACTTCGGTTTAAACCCACCTGTCCAGATCTCTTGTTCTACGTCACTTGGGTAGGACACCCTGCCTGGTTTAGGCCCCCTGGGAATCCATTTCCAGAAGCAGTGACTGGCATCACAGCATTTATCCTCTTCACAAACCCCACCCATCAAGGAGAGAGCTTAGATTCCTTGCTCCACCTTTCCCTCCTCTTCCACCTAGTACAACTTTGGACATCACTTCAGTGCCATTTTGCCCATGTCTCTACTACACTTTGGATTCCTCCCTGAGAAGCAGAACTATTACCTTACTCATCGTCACAACCCTCAGGCCTAACAGAGGACCTGGAAGAGTGCTTAGTACCTCTTTCTTATAGTTGTGGGGATTAATGAGCACTAAATACTTGCAAAGTGTTAGAACTGTGCCTGGCACTTAGTATGCACTCAAATAGCTGTAGCTGTGCTTGTTAAGTGTCAGTTGGGTGGAGGTTTTCAACTCCTTTCTGTTCCCCATGGAGCCCAGCCGTGGGTTTGGATATGCATCACCCTGCTATCCTCCTGGGGACCAACATTGCTTGCTTCCTTATAGAGAAAGTCATTGCTTATATTATTGCCCACTGACCTACCTGAGTATAATAAAAATTATATACAACCCACTTTGAAGGTCAGAGGTAAAAGAATCTTGCAGATTTTGGTTGTATCTTTTATCATGTCTGTTTGTAATTTAAAGTAACGTCATCTAGAATTATATTGAGATCAGGGACATTTATTGATGTGCTATAATTCCTTACTACTTAATTGAATATTTAGGTTATTTTCTAATTGGTGATTATGTTGATTATAATAATAACAGCTAATAAATATTGAGAGTTTAGTACATGCTGAGAATGTGAACTTTTTATGCATCTCTTCATTTAAGTCACATAAGAGCCCTACAAATACAAATATTTAAACAAAGATAAGGAAACTGAAACAGAAATGTTACATGATTTGCCAAAAGTCATAGATAAAATCATTTACATTGGCAGAATTAGGATCCAGGTCTGTTTTGGCTCTTATCTGCTTTTGCTGCAAGTATTAACTTGTATAATAAAGGTATTATTTTTATCTCTTCTCTGGGAATTCACAAAGTTTAGTGCTCTGATTGCATTCTAGTTAATTTCCCATTAAAGTTCATTTCTAAATCAGCATTTCTGAATTTCTCATTTACTATCTAATGCATTTACTGGTATTATACAAATTAGTCATAACAGTTTGATAAGAACTGTTATTTATATATTTGACTTTGTTTTCAGTTCATTTCTTGGCTTAGGGAGTTTTTGAATTTGAACCCCAGACCTATCTACACAAAAACAGACTTTGATTACAGTTGTTAGAGGAGATCCCTCCAACCTGAGCAGGCGCAGTGTGAAACCAATGTTCTAGTCAGTTCCCTTTGCAGGCAAACCTGGTTCAGCGCCTCCATTCTGGGGCTGCAGAGACCTCGTCTCCCATCCCCCCAGCATCTGAAAAGATTCCCTACATCCGCTGGTCTTCACACCAGCACTGGCTTCCTGTTCAGATTTCACTTAATTGGTGGTTTTAGCTTGCTTGCTTTCTTTTTGACCCTTAGGGATTTCCTGTACTTCCTTATGAACTCACGTGTAAAGTCTGTTTTGGGGGCAATATGAAGCAACTGGAACTCGCATATACTCCTGGTGGGCGTGGAAATTGGTATAGCCACTTCTGAA